AAGAGAAAGAGGTTATGACTGGTTCATAGATTGTTGATAAAATTCTTTTGAATATTACATCGAGTTTATTCAAGATATACCACTACTGTGCCGCTACACCATAGTAGACATATTCGCATGGTCTATACGTCGAATAATTTCAAATTTTCTTTATCAGTAAATTCGATAATGGCTTCATGTGTACGTGTTCCTTTTTTGTTATTTTATAATTAATGCTAGTTTAACTGGCCAAAATATGGTAAATAAATCAGGAAAATCATTTAAACTTCGCCAAAATGCTAGTCAAAGTAGTACGAGAAAGGAACCGAAGAACAATAACAAGAAAGTTGCTAAAGTGCAATCTAAGTAACCTACAAATTCCTTATTTTAAATTATATTTATGTAAACGTATGTTTGTTTTTAGAAAAACTGAAAAGGAGGCAAACAATTTAGTTTATCCTGGAGGTGATACAGCATTTAAGGCAATATTGTCTGCTCGTTTTTGTGCAGCTATTTGGTCTCACATAACCGATTGCGATGAAACTTTTAACTATTGGGAGCCTACTCATTATCTAGGTTAGTACCTTGGTGCATTTTCGAATTTATCTCTAAGTCTATAAAGTTTTTGGTAAGGGGCTACAAACCTGGGAGTACAGTCCTCAATTTGCATTAAGGTCTTATACATATTTATTAGTACATGCAATCCCAGCATATATTTATCACAAAATACTACAACCAAATCCACTACTCATTTTTTACTTTATCAGATGTTTACTGGGGTTAGCATGCTCTTTTGCAGAAGTGTATTTTTATAAGTAAGTTATAATACACATAGGTTAATCTTTATCCATAAGTAAAATCTGTTTGATTGCTTTTTAGGGCAGTTTGCAGAGAGTTTGGTGTACATGTTGGTAGGTTGTGCTTAGCTTTTCAGTTATTTTCAGCTGGAATGTTTATATCAAGCACAGCATATTTACCCTCATCGTATGCCATGTATACATTTGCTGCTGCATGTGCAGCATGGTGGCAACAAAAATATCCATTGGCAATTTTCTTCACTGCATTGGGGTCACTTTTAGGTGAGTTACTCAAACTCTTTAAAACACTAAGTTTCCTACATTTTTATTTTCAGGTTGGCCTTTTGCTGCTCTTTTAGGTGTTCCCATAGCATTTGATATGTTGTATTGTCAGAAAATGTATAAAGATTTCATTCAGTGGTCTGTTATATCTGCAGTGACAGTTTTAGGACCCATGGTGGCCATAGATTCTAAATATTTTGGAAAACTAACCATTGCTCCTTGGAATATTGTTAAATATAATGTTCTAGGGGGTGCAGGTCCTGAATTGTATGGCAAAGAACCATTTTCTTTTTATATAGTGAATGGCTTTCTTAATTTTAATTTTGTTTGGGTATGAATTTTTTATGAAGTAAGATTTTTTCTTCTTAGTGAATACCTTTTGCAGGTTTTAGCTCTACTTTCACCTGTAGTCCTTGCTCTATCTCATATCTTGGTACCTGCAAGAAATAGGGCTACTTTAATGTTACCTCATACACTTTCTTTAGCACCAATGTTTTTATGGTTGGTTGTTTTCTTATTTCAGTCTCATAAGGAGGAAAGGTAAATATTATTTAAAAAAAGTCGTTATTACTAATCTATACTATTTAAAGGTTTTTATTTCCAATTTATCCCATGATATGTTTAGCGGGTGCCATATCTGTAGATGTTGTACAGAAGCTTATATTTAGACTGTTATGCCTCTTGAGTACAAAACGCATTGGCTTTATAAAAATTTCTCCTAGTTCACATTATCTAGATTCAACTGCATTTGTAATGTTTGCTGCAGTCACTATTTGCAGTTTAATCGGTGAGGATTTTAGAAATTATATATATTTTTCCCTTTCATATAATCCATGATTGTGTATTTACCCTGTACTTCAGCTCCGCATATCGTTACACTATACTAATGTGAAGAAGAGAAACGTTTTGCTCTTCCAATATTCCTTAATTCTTTATGTTTTTCCCCAAATCATTCCTAGTACTGTAATTTCTTTTTCTTTTTGGAGCTTACTCCTTTACTTAATATAAAGTTAATTATTAATTAAAATGTTTTTAAAACTTATTTACAGGTATATCTCGTATATTTTCCCTGTATAAAAATTACCATGCACCTTTAGACTTAACAATGGAATTAAACAGATTTCCATTGGAGGGAAAATTTCCCAATGAGTCCCAAGTGAATGTATGTTTAGGTAAAGATTGGTATCGTTTTCCTGGATCTTTTTTCTTGCCAAATACAAATTGGAATGTGCGTTTCATAAAATCAGAATTTGACGGAATGCTACCCGCTCCTTATACAGAATCGGAAAATGGTACGCAGATAATTCATGCCCATTTCAATGACAAAAATGAAGGAAATTCGAGTACTCTTTTTAATATTAATAAATGTCACTTTTTGTTGGATTTGGATCAGGGAAAAGAATCCAACTTGGAGCCTAATTATGCTAAACAGACCGAAAAATGGAAAATTGTCAAAACTTTGCCATTCTTGAAGGTGGAAAGTTCGCACCCCTTTTTTAGAGCGTTTTACATTCCTTTCTTAAGTCATAAATACTTAGAATATGGTAATTTTAATCTGTTGCAAAGCTCAAAAGTGAAGTAAAAACTAATATACAAGTAGTGATAAGCTTTGATAATATATCTATATATAGAGGAACTATGAAAATAAATAAGTGTTGTCTTGTGATATTGGTTATTAACTGTTTTTTGTTCGATCTTTAAGAGAAGACTTAAATAGACAATTGAACTACTTTTTGTATTTTCTTAACAACTTGTTTAAAACACCAAAAACTAATGTGGAATTTTGGGTTTTAATTTTCCTTTAAGTTTAACTTCTAAGTCATTTAGCAGTAATTAATTTTTATCATTTTCAAAATTAAAATGATGTTTGTAACATTCTGAGTAGAAGTGACGATTGGAATAAAGGATAACGGCAAAAAATTCAATTTTACCACCTTTTATGGAAGCCATCTATTAGCAACGAAATGATTCAAATCTATGCGTAACGTGATGCGCAAACACCGCGGTTTACTGTTCGCCATTGCAGGACGATTGACTTTTCTAAAGTTACTTTAAAAACAGNTAAAAAAATTAAAATTATTATTTAAAACAGAAAAGTTGATACTTTAAAGCATACTTAGTTCTTCTGCAAGAGTTACTCTCCTTCCAGTTAGCAGTTTCTCTTTAATTTGTTGATTCTGGCTGTAATCATCCAGTACATCTTTTATTTCTTTATCTAATCTTCTTGCTGAAAGTATAAACAGCGAAAGCAACGATAATACATACAGTCATTGGATTCCATTAAAATATTTACCTTCTCTATTCATAATTTGTTGCCTGAGAGCATTTGATGTCACTTTCATCATTTGTTGTATCCTATGGAACAGCACCACATCACCGCATTCAGTCTCGAGACCTTGATGGTACATGAAAAAAGACCTGCGACAATCGTAGGCCTTATTAATGGCCTGATTTAAGAAATGTTTCCTATAGACCGGTTCCCATACTTCCCTTATAAAATCAGAGTCGACTTCGACGTTACTACGCTGTAAATTTTTACGAATTGTTGTCAATTCATCATAACTTAAAGCAGGAGGATGTTTCTGAAAAATGAAAAATATATACCAGATACTGAAAAAAAAAATTATTCTTACTTGATCGGAAGCCAATATTTTGTCCAATTCCGACTTGACATAGCTTCTTTTTGCTTGTTCGTCGGTGGGAGACTTCCAATACAACCACTTTTCTTTCGTGGAAGGTCCCAACATCTGTTTGAGTACAATATCAGTGGTTTTTAATTTTTCACGTATGCTACTCTCAAGGAATCGAATGGCTGAGTCCCAGTCCCTTTTATCATTCACCGTTCTATCTTCTAGAGCATTTAGTTGAATAACTCGTAGCACTTCGGCAGCTTTATCCTCCCATGTATGACGTCGCATAGCCTCTTCCACAACTGCTGTTTTCAGTTGATCAAAAATATTGTCATGATTGGGATTTTTAGATGCCTTTTCCAAGAAAGATCTAAACTCTTCTTTCAGTGTTTCCCAACCAGACTCTACAGATTGCGACGGTAACGTCTGTTCAGCCCATTGACGAAGCTTGATATCCACCGATGTATTGAAGGTTTCTAGATAATTTTTTTAAAAATCATTTTGTAATAGTTTTTATTAAGAAGAAATTACCCTGCGAATTAGTCTGTGCAGATGGTAAGTAGATGTTCTCGAATACATGCGTAGAAACCTTTTCCCAAATTTTGTTCATGAGACTTTCCTCCCACTGTTTAGTGCTGACTTGAGATAAGTTGACAATTTCGTCGAGAATTTCTGACCGTGCTCGGTCGAACAGTTCATCCCTATCTTGCTCACGTAGTCGAGGAAAGTTATTCTTCCATTCTGTTTCTAGATTAAATCTTGCAGCTTTAAATGCATCTGCTTGTTGCTCAACAGTTTCCTTTACCATTTTCCAAAAGCAATCGGCTACCGCCATACTCAAATTACGCGTAGTCACTTGATTGGATAATACTCTACCTTGTCTGTACAAAAAACAATAAATAATATCCAGTCATTTACAATTTGACGACTACATGTTTAAAAAATGTACTTGCTTGAATAATTTTGAATTTCTGAAGAAATTCTCTTCGTAATCTTTTATTGTTTGTATAGAGTCGTCTTTACGGCCCCTCCCAGTAACCACCGCATAATATCCTAAAGCTTTCATGGGGAATAATTTTCCCTGAAGTATTTTCCTAATCTGTATGTGTAGGTAAAAAAAATGAGCATTCAATTTTTTTTAAAAATATTTATATAAATTTACTCTATCTGGATCTGCTAAATTTTCCTCTGCCATGTCCACTTTTGTTAGTACAAATATTGTCCTTTTACCAGCAGGATCACATTGCGCTACCAAATCGGTAACATTGCTTCTTTCTGCGTCAACAGAACCGTCCTAAAAATATAAAAAAAATAATTTTATAATGACTATTGTCAAACCATCCTAAAAACAGTAAAATATTAATAGAAATTATGCCTCCACCTGTTACTGATTTTGGGGCAAAGCAAGAATTAAGTATTACAGAAATGATGAAGTCTCCTAGTAAGGTAAAATATGAATTTATCTATTACATAGACTAAAATATATTAAGAAAAGAAAGATAATTTGAATGAGATAACAAAATACTTTTTTCTAATTTGTATTCTTTGTTATCTATCAGGTAGTTGTATTAAGAA